CCCCCACAGAAGTTTCCACACCTATCAGATGCTTCCTCCTCCTCTGTACTCAGCAATCTGCTGCTCATCTCCACTCTACTGACCCAGAGGTGATGGTTTCCTCCCACCTGGTCCTGCTGCCTTCTACAAACGATGTCCCAGTTTTCTTCATCTCAGCAAATGCCATCTCTATATACCCAGATGCTCCATTCAAAGTTTTACAAGTCCTCTCCTTTCTTCACATGCCAAATGCCAACCATGTTTTTTTCATTGTTGATAGATTCTTCCGTGGTCCCCTACACATGCCCAGCATTACTTTTGTTCTTTGGAGCCAAGGAACGAGGTCATGTCACTTCAGTTGTTCATCTCTCACCATTGCTACCCTTTCCCAGGACATTCTTTGTCCTTTTATTTCATCTGTTTCTTCTCTCACATGTTTTGACTTTCTGCTCACATACCACCATCTTGGAGAGGTCTTATCCATGCACCTTAAGAAGACTGGTGACATTTTGTGCCTGCACACCCATCTTGGCTGCTCTATTTCTCTTTACCCAGCTTCATTGGTCTCCTAGTTCTCATCCCTACTAGAAACAAGAGCGCATTAGCCACATTTTTGGCTTATTATTATTTTGTAATTGGCCTGTTGTTTTCATTATGTGCTAAGCACCACAAAGGCAGGGCTTTCATTTGGTTTAGCATTAATAATGCCTAGCACCTTGCAGCTATGGAATAAGACTGAATTCACTTCAGCTGTCATTACTATTGTGGAGGTAAAACCTTTTAAAATTAATTCCGAAAATCAAGTTTAATTAGTAAGTGTTTCTACATGTCTTGAAAACTATATTCATTTTGAAGTCTGTTTTACTGCCCCTTTTTAGGAATCTTGAACCTTTATGGACATTACTGAGACACAGTTTAAGCTTGAAATTAGTTAACAGTAGCTGTCACAGAAATATAACAGGCATCATTCCTGCCCTTGTTAGTGGCAGGTGCTTTGTGAATACCAGCACATTTATTTCTCAAAGCACATCAGTGGGCTACCTATCCATTTACCGATGGGTGTGATAGTTTTAAAATCTGGAAAGTTTTTTGATAGCTCCCCTTTAAAGGGTAGAGCCTACCTTATTCCTCTTGAATTTGACTTGGCGAGCAGGTCTCAAAGAGCGTGTACAGGGGAAGCAGCAGTGTTTGGTGAGCATGGTGAGATATCCAAAGTTTCGGGTCTTCCTCCCTGCCCTCCGGCATAGGGCCGGCCTGACTCCCATTTTCCTCACTTCTGAGGTAAAAACTGATGATATGCTCAGTTGCTCAGTCTGGCCATACTAATCATTTCTGTAGCAACCTCAGGTAGTATCCCTAGCAGCGGCAGGGACATCAGGAGGGTTACTGTCCCATGCTCCGAATGTTGTGCTGGGTTTAGGGACTGTCTTTCCTTCTTTTCTGGTTGCTTTGATAAAATAGTCCAACAACATCAAGTTAAGGGGTAGGAAAGTTTTGTTTTAGCTCCCCATCATGGAACAGTCATCCATCATAGAGGGAAGTTAACACAATAAGAGCTGGAATCAGATGGTTCCATCATGTCCCTAATCAGAAGAGACAAATCAATGCATGCATGCCATTGTTTAGATTGCTTTGGACATTTTATAGATTCCAGGACCCTTGTCTAGAGAATGGGCCTATCTATAATTAAAATGGGCCCTCACACATCAATGAACACAATCAAGATTTTTTCCCCATAGGCATAACCAGAGTCCCATCTTCCAGGTGACTCTAGAGTTCGTCAAGTTGATACCTAACAGTAATTTATTACAGGGATAAAGATGAGAATGATGTTAGGGCAGCCAAACAGCCAAAGGGAGTGATCCCTGGTCCAAGTTTCAGCTTCCCACCAGCAGCCATGTGGGAGGCCATTTTGGAGGCAGGTCTTCCAGCGCCATTCAAGCCTTCAGGATGGCAGAGCTACTGAACTTTTTGACAGGACTCTTCCCAGAGACCCTGAGCCAGAACCACCAATTAAGCTGCCATAATTCATAAGTCACAAAACCGTGTATTCATAAACGCTCTGTGAGATGAGAGGAGCTGCCAGGCGACAAGCAGAAAGCCTATTTCAACAAGGAGACAGCAGGCTGCAGAAAAGTAGCAGACAGTGGTAGAGGCCACCTTGTATTCCTTGCGACCTTGAGGCCAGCCAGTCTTGAAATTGACTCCATCCTTTCTGAATCTGTGTGAGTCGAGTCAAGAAGCCCATCCTGTAAGTGGGATACTCCGAGTTTTCTGTCACTTGTCCTTGAGCAATGCATGGCCAGTATGATGGATCTACCCTACTTTGTGGGAGGTGGTGGCACTCTCCCACTTTCCACGTGCCATCTGAAGAATTTGGATCAGCGCTATCCAAAGCCCCTTCCCCCTTTGAGCCTCAGGAAGCATCTGCCTTTCCTGGAAGCCAGCGTGGTCTGGGGAAATAAACTCAAAATAAAACAGTGTAGTGATGGGTGGGTGGTTCAGCCACAGTTCCTTAGTCATCTGTGTATCCTTTCTTTCCTTAGCTGCTCACCCCTCCCCCAGTCCTTGATTCGCACACACATCCTGTTAGTCACCGGGTCCTGTTGATCTGGATCAAATGCTTGGTGGAAGGAGGTGGAGCAGCCCTAATGAAAGTTAGGTGACTTCTTCCTTGGGGGCATCTGGCAAGTCCAGTCTTACGCCTTTCTTTCATTGCTACCAGTGAGGACCACTGCAACTCTTCCCATCTCTCAGCTCAATCACTTGGTAGCTCTCTCATATTTCTTGTAGATCTTTCTCTTGTCACATGCTCTGACTGATGCAACTTTCCTTTGGCTCACTGTCCAGTTGGTTACATGGCAAACTTCTCGGCTCAGTGCTCAAGACCCTCCATGAGCTACCTGGCATTCCCCAGCCAAGGTCACTTTGGAATCTCACATTTCTCCTCTCTGCCATCTACCTTACCTCCTTCTCCAAATGGATGCCCGGTCCCTCCTCTGGGAGTTCTCAAGATTCTTGTCCTTATCTCCATAAAATATCCTGAGCTTGTTGCTCCTCAGCGAATACCCAACTTGCTTAGATCCTGCAAACTAGTCTAAACTAGGGATTTTCATTCTCAGGGAGAATTTGACCAGAACAATCAGGTTTTGGGTATATCTTCCCCCACCTGACAAGTACTGGTGATATTTTCAAATTTGATTTACCATATTATATCAAACCCAGTTTCTTTCTTACCCTCTTTTTTCCAATTACATTCTGGAATGATGGCGGCATTCCCATTTTTACCCATGAATTGAGGCTCATTCAGGTTTGTTTTGCTACCTATTGACTGAGAGGTATTTATCACTAATTGTATCATTAAAACGGTGGCCACTGGGAAAATGCCAGTTATGAAGAGGGAATGAATCTAAGGGTTATGCCAATTCCCAGTTTCCAAACCAAATATATGTTTCTGTTTATTTCCACACTGTCACCATTTTCTCCTCACTGCTTTAATGCTGGACTTCCTCACGAAACTGTAACACAATTTGTTGTTTTGACGCACTCCAGCATGCACTAGTTCTGGATCACCCTCCAATAGCAACTATGGTAAAAGTTTATGATCCTCACACAAGTCCTTGTCATGCCCTTCTCCAGGAGGAGAGGCTAGGGCTCAGGTTAAGACACAACCCAGCTTTGCTGAGTTCCCGGGGATGGATAGGCCACATCACTACAGGTAACTTCATCTTCCATGATGCTTGTGTAGGGACACCCATTTAGAAAGGGCAACAGGCGATCTGCCCACTGTGCTGCCAACAGCAAATGACCTAAGAACGATCTAGCTGATACCCATTACATATTTGGATTGAAAAGGGACAATGTGGACTTATGGAAAGCGAGTGAAGACCTTGTGTCCCCCTCCAATTTCAGAACCTGGGTTCTCCAGGTTCTGAGATAGTTGTATTATTTTAAAAGGAGAAGCCTTTAAGTACCAGGGTGACCATACATACAGGATTTTTTTTTTAAGCCATAACTTCCCGCATCCCTCCCTCTGGCTAGCTCTGTAGCCCAGCAGTAGTGGGAACTCCAGTTGAGACACAGAAGCAACCCGTCCTTTCTTCCCAACTTTGCCTGTCCTCTTCCCTCTGGGATTCAAAGTCCAGTGTGGGCAGGGTCTTACTGGTGGCTGTGGCTGCAGACACTTGAGTTGGGTGGACTTTGGGAAATGTTTGTTGATTAACTGATTGACTGGATAGTGGGGCAGGAGGGCTGCCGAGGCCATGCCTTGCCCTAAACACTTCGCAGGTTTAGTGGGGACGCCACATGGAGCCTGTGGATGGGCCACTTCCTCCCTCCTCTCCCCGAAAAGCCATCCTGGAAGCAAGGGCCCCTCTGCTCCTCGGGGCCAGGTCTCCTAAGGTCGGCCCCAGTCCCCTCCCCGGAAAGGAGAAGAGTGGGGTACCCCTAGAGCAAGAAGGAGGACTGAAGAGGGGCTCCCTTGCCTGCTTCGTGCAGGTAGAGACCTGTCTCCCGGCCGCCCCTTCGCAGCCCGGGCAGGTCACGCCGGGCGGGTACCTGGCCGCACAGTCTGCGGGCCCTCGCGGCCGCGCGCTCCGCCAGGCCCGGGAACGGTACCCGGGCTCGGCCCTCGGTGGCCGCCGCCCCCTCCACCCCGGGGGCCGGGCCGGGCTCCCGGGAGGCGGGGACTCGCCCAGTGGCAGCAGCGTCCGGGCGGGTGGCGGGCGCGGGGCGGCTTCCTGCAGGCGGCGCCGGGGCGAGCCGGGCGCTGCAGTCACCGGCCTTGGGACACCGGGGCCCGGGCGCTCGGGGGGCCGCGTCCGAAGCTCGGGGCGCGCCGCGCGGCCGTCGGTCGCCGCTGCCCGCGCTCGCGTGTCGCCGCGACCGCCGCGGCCGCCGCCGGTTACGCCAGCCCTGCCAGCCAGCCCCGCCGCCGCCCGCTCTGATTCTGCGCACAGGCGGCCCCCAAGCCTGTCATTCTGCAAAAACACAGTTTACTCAACACGCCGCACACACTTGCGCGCACACACATACACACATATACACACTCTCGCGCGCGCGCACGCACACACACACACACAGACACACACAGACACACACGCACGCACACACGCGCTCGCGGGCGCGCGCAACCCGGACCCCGGCGTGCACACGCACGGGAGCGCGCGAGCGAGCAAGACGCGCACACCCGGCGAGCCAAGTTCCGCAGCCTGGCATGGCTTCTGGGGACCTTTACGAGGTACGGGGAAGCCGGGGCGCGGGCGGCGCCGGGGGACCGGGCCTGGCCGGGAGGGGTGCGAACGGAGTCCTGAGCCCGTGGGTGGCGGCGGCCGGGATCGGAGGGCGCCTGGGGGACTGGAGGGTGGCGGCGGACCCGAGGGTGGCGGCGGGGACCGGAGGGTGGCGGGGGCCGGGCGCGCCTCCCGCCGCCGCCTCCCGCGGCGCCCGCTCCCTCTTTCTCTTTCTCTCGCGCACACACTCTCTTACTCCATCTACTTTGCGGCCTTGGAGAGAGGGGAAGGAGGAAGCCGGGCGGAGCCGGGGCGGAGGGAGGGAAGGTAGCGGTCCCGGGGAGGTGTTTGCTTAGCCCCGACGAGCCGCTCCAAGTGTGCCGAAAAGTACAGGTAAAAAAAAAAAAAGAAAGAAAGAAAGATAAAAAGAAAGAAAGAAAAAAAAGAAAAGAAAAGAAAAAAAAAAGTCGCCGCCGGACGTGCGAGGGAATGCGGGGGACCGCGCTGCGGACGGCCCAATTTAGGGGTGTCGAGACCCCGGGGGTGCGCGAGTCTAGGTTGGGTGGGGAGAAGAAGGTGGGTGATCCTAGTGGAGCCAGGCTCCCCGGGAGGGGAATGCCAAGGAGTGCTGGGGCGGGCGGGTGGGGGCGCGGCTCTGGGGACAGCACTTTTGCAATTCCACTGGGGCCACTGGGTGCCTTCCCCCTCCCCCCACCTGCTGCCTAGAGCCCCCCCCCCCCCCCCCCCCCCCCCCCCCCCCCCCCCCGGGCTCTGAAGCTCCTCTGGCAGAGGATTGGGGGCTGTCTCTGCTGGTGTCATGCCTCTCAGGGTGAAAGGGGGCTGCAGAGGGGCCCTCTGGCTGGGAGGGAAGTGGGCATGGAAGTTGTCTGTGGGTGGTCAGACCTGTCAGAGGGCATGGGTGTGAATCCGGTTTCCAGAACTACTCTGGCTGGCCCTGGGGTAATTCTTGTCTCTAGGGCCACACAGGTAGTAGTGGGCACTGGATATTTTGAAATCGGTTCAAAATGTTGAGCGAAGACATCCATCTGTCATCTTTTGAACAATAGAGAAATACCCGTGGTCTCTGGGGAGAGAGGGCTTAGCCAGCCTTGGGACCACAACCGTTCCCGCGCGGGATTTGGACCACTGGACAAACAAGACACCACCACCAGACCCAGGGGGAGGAGGCCCTCAAAGAGGTGTTCGTTCCTAAGAGAAGGTTCTGAGTCAAGAAGCCAAAGGGACTGGCCACCTTCTACCAGGAGGCCTGCAGATGCTGCAAGAATCCAGTGTCAGGGGTCATGTGGGCTTCCCAGCCCCACCCTCCAGTATGAGTCAGTCACAGTGGCTGTCACTCGTAAGGTTGTCTAAATTTCCATGCAGTCCTAGGACAGGTTGAGTTAACGTTTCTGGTAAGAGACTGCAGTAGCAGTTCAGCCACCTCAAGCTTGTTCCCCGAGCCTTCCCGGAAGCCCAAGCTTCTCAGACAGTTCATTTACTGACTGGTGTGAGGGGAGAATGGTGGCCAGGCCAGTAGGCTCTGTGAGGCTCAGGTGGGACCCATGTGATATGAGTTGACCTCTTGTCAACCGTGTGACCTTCCTTACCCTTGTGCTGATGGAGAAGCCAAGGCGGGATAGAAACCTGATGAGAAACTGACGGATGTGGCCAGCGGGCCACCCAAATCCATCGCTGGTTTTCAAGATGGTGGAGCAGTCTATGAAACCAAAAGTTAAAACACAGTGAAATGAAAACCTGTGCCCTAAGAGCCCCAGGGTAAAATCAGTCCTACCAGGACACTGGCAGAAAGTGGATGCCGTTTAGGGACAAGACCAATCTTGCCGGGGTCATGGAATTTTTCTCATCGATGGCAAGTTGTCTCAAAGCCACAGCCATTGGGTGGATGACAAGTGGCCTTGTTGAAGACATGAAGTGAACATCACAGGAGACGTCACTGCTTCCCCATTTAAAGTCTGAAACTTACGAACCTCCTGGGGATAATTTCTTGTTTAATGTTCATCTGAAACTGCCATTCTTAACCTTGGTAATTGTAGTCACCAGATGGGTCCGTGATGATGGGAGTTTCCACAATGGCCTTGAACTATCTCAGTGACTCAGGAGTGCTTATTGGAGTTCAATAAGCAGGACAATAATAACAATTACTTCTGTGGTGGTAGGTGATTGTATGAGGTATAAAATGGTTTTCCTGTGGCTGATTATTTTACATAGCCATTACTAGAAGTGCTAAATTGCATTATGAGAATATAGCCAATGTCATCATTTTTATAGCCTGTGCCTCCGTTACATAACATACACTGAGGGGTTTAATTGGTTGTTCAAATTTAACATAAAAAAAAGAAGTGCCTAGTGTACCTCAGTACATGTATTTCTAACTGTAAAATTGTCATGTGCATTAAAAAAATAGCGTGTTGATTAAAAAAATAGATCTGGGCATATTCAGTGCAGTTAATGACCTTAAAAGAAATAAAAGTCTCAGTCTATGTGAGGGTATTTCCTTAATTAAATATCATACTTGAGTGTACATAAAATGGCTTATCATAACCTTTAACCATTAAGCATATTTGAGTCAACTTCGAGTGATAACCTTTGTAGCATATATTCCAGCTGGAACATCACCCTTGGTGCCTTATGGAGAGGATAATGTTTGGATTGTAGAGATTCACCGTCTCTTTGGTGATTTTAGACACCTTAGTTATAAAAAAGCAAGCCTTCCTCAGAGAGTTCTGTTAAGGCGTTGGGTGCTGATTTTCAGAAAATGAGCTTTCTTTACATGATAATGCTCTTCAGTTGTGGTGAGGAAACCTGGACCAACAGAAGGTTCTGAAATTTGGATTTGATGGATTCTCTGTTTTAGTTATGGGATGCCCCTTCTGAGGCATTCTAGTTATCATGCATATGGAAGTGATTCAAATGTTGATTGACTGATATCCTAGAGCAGAAGTCTTCAATCTTCCTAAGGCTGTGACCCTTTACTACAGTTCATATGTACCGTCAAGCATAAATTTGTTTTTTTTTTTTTTTTTTGCTGTTCTATAAATATACTTTTGCCACTGTTATAAATCATAATGTAAATATCTGATATACAGGATATCTGATACGCGATCTTTGTGAAAGGGTCACTCAACCCTCAAAGGGGGTCACAGCCCACAAGTTGAGAACCAGTGTCTTAGAGCCAGATATGCCTGGATATAAAATGTAATCACCACCACCCCCCTTGCCAAGATGAGCTAGTAAACATATGGGTCATCAAAAATTAGTCCACGAGACAGTTCTAGGCTGTGTGTGTGTCTGAGTGAGTGTGAGTGTTTGCCTTACCTCATTGTTATGTATGAAAAATGTCTTTGAATGCCTTTAGATGGGGCAGACGATCTTTAGTTTGTCTCTTTCCGCAATGATCTGTATACAGATTCATTTCCCTACATGTTTACACTGTCAATCTCAATCTGGATGGTATTAGAGCTTGCCATCCCTGGCGTCTAGTTAGCCATTTGCCAAGATGATTGGGTATCGTGAACACATCATTCGTGGCACAGGGAACCGAGTTTTCAAGTCTTTTTCCCAGGGTTCCTAGCTCCTCACACATTTACTCACTCATGACTCTTATCAGTGAACTGAAGACTGGGGCCAGTAGACAGGGATCACTCTGAGCGATATTTAGCATTCTTATATTGAGAGTTACATGTATTTCTTCCCCAGCTCATGGTATCTTTGTGGTGGTAATTTCATGTCCTAGTTTTGCATCTGTTACTGAGATTATTCACGGACCAAATCAACTTGGGTGAAGTAAGATACACTTCCACATTATACAGACCATCATTGTGGGAAGCCAGTGTAGGAACTCCAAGCAGGAACCTCAAGGCAGGAACTGAAGTAGAGACATGGAGAAATGCTGCTTACTGACTTGCTCCCTATGCCTTGCACAGATCATCCTTCTTTCTTATTAAAAGAAATAAAGTAGCTAGGCAGTGGTGGCACATACTTTTAATCCCAGCACTCGGGAGGCAAAGGCAGGCAGATCTCTGTGAGTTCAAGGCCATCCTGGTCTATAAAGTGAGTCCAGGACAGCCAAGGCTACACAGAAGCTACCCTGTCTTGAAAACCAAAATAAAATAAAACAAAATTTCAAAAACGAAATAAAAAGAAATTAGAAAAAGACAACTCATTCTACATTATAGCATGTACTTAATTAAATATTATAATTGAGTATATAAAACATGGCTTATCATAACATTTATTTAATAAACCATATTTTTATGAGGGTGAGGAGTAATGACCTGCTTTCTTATATAACCTAATATCTTCTCTTGGAGTGGAGCAACCCACAGTGGGCTGGGCCCTCCCACATCAATCATTAGTAAAAAAAAAAAAAAATTGCCTCATTGGCATGCTCACAGGCCAGTCTGATGCAGGCAATCCTTCAATTGAGGTTCCCTCTTTCCAGGTGTCCTTGTTAAGGTTGACAGTATCTACCCAGCACACACCATGAAGAGTAGCTCAGCTCTTTTTCTAAAAGCGTGTCTGGGTATCTTCTAGAGAAGCTGACTGTTCTCCCTCTGAAGGATTGACTGCGTTTAAACCTCTAGTGTGTGGCTTTCCTTAATGTTGAGTGGCGTCTAATACCCCTCACCCTTGATTAGTTGACATGAAGGACAACGAACCTACCTTGCTGGCAAAAATGTTCAAAGAGGAAGCTTTCTGTTTATGTGGAGTGGCCAAGGTGACACTTACTTAGTTGAACCTGACAGTGTTTCTGTGCTAGGCTCTGTTTGTTGTTTTTCCTAAATCTCTATCAGCAGAAATTGGCTGTATTTTCTGTGTGTCTGTTTGTGTGTGTGTGTATGTGTGACATACATCTCTCTCTTCTTATGTTTAGGGAAACAGCATTGGAGCAGGTCATGGACCATGTATGCATCCTTGAGCCCACAGCATTAACTAAGCACTATAAATCAAATAGAAGTATGCTGGCTGGTGGGCCCTTCACCAAGTC